CCCCAAAACCCCAAAACCCCTGAAAATAAGATAAACAATGATAGAGATAATGATAGATAAACTTAAATTTTATAAAAATTAATTTTATGGCTTAAGTTCCTCTGGAAAGAGAAGTCGATTTCTACGGCTTATTAAATATTTCCAAAACAGCTACCAATGATTAAATCTAGAAGAAATTTAGAAAGCTATCATTATACACACATCCTGATAAGACTATAGGCAGATAAAGTCATGAGGTATTCGTCTAAATGCAACGAGCTTACAGTTATCTTGTGAATCCCACCACGAGATTGATCTATGACAATTATGGCACTTAGGGATTGAAGATATTTGAGTTGTTCCAAGATTAGTTCTCAGAATTAAGTGATGAATTAAGAAGTTAAGATATTGAAGATGAGCAAAGACAAATCATTCAAGGAGTAAGTATATTTCAATCATCTTTGAGAATAATGGCAAAGCTAATCCATATTATAATAGAAAATTCTGAGAAAAAGTAAGGCAATTATAAGACAGCATTTGAAAGGGTAGATCTCTAATGAGTATTAGAAGTCATTCTCGATTGACCTAGGTGTTAATTTGAGATCTTTCTCTAAAAATTACTATCAATTCTATTATGCAGGTCAACTTGGACGATCATTGAAACTTATAAGAACAAACACATTTTCGACCAATGTCAATTTTTCGCTGCCACTTAAAAAGTATAACCAAGTCATTGATTTCTCAGTTCAAACTCAGAATGATCTGAAGTAAGGATTAGGATTATGCAACTACAAAGTGTCACACACATACAACTATAAACCAGAGCTTTACTTCAAGGTATTCTATTTTACCAAACTTAACACCAAATTAGAACTCTCTTAATATGAATCAGTAGAATCCTAATTTTTAGACAGAGATAGGTAAAAATATAATTAACCACAATCTCTTTTTGAAACTAAAGGCCACTATTACCGAAAATGGAATAATGCCTTCCATAAATCTTTCAAGTTCATAACTCGCTCCCTATATGTGTAAGCCTATTAAGATTTAATATACTCTATTAGTGGATACTAGTTACAATTTCGGAAGTTAGGCATTTGGAATAGGTTTAAGAAAGGAGGAGGCAGGAACAAATCTTGCATACTCTGCACATATATCTCTAAGTAAAGATGATGTGAACATATCACCTTCTCTCTAGTATCAGTTAACTAAAGAATTTGCTCTATCATCATCTGTCTCTATTTCATACAGAGGTACATTAGCTACATCAACTGGCATAACCTTCAATGTATCTGACAATAAATCAGGAGGAGTATATTTCTAATCGTAACATGCTTAACACGGGGCAATACTTTAATCCTCAACAGTAGTCTTAGTATATAATCATTATGGTTATCTTTTCAAAGTGCCTATTGTGACTTGCAATCATTAAGAGAACAAGCCAGGCATGATTATGTCTTTGGGAGTATTCCTAGCAGCAAATGTGCTATTTTACATTGGATTTAAATATCTTAAAAAATCACCATCAAAATAGGCTAAAAAGGATTAAGTTATCTCTTATGGTAGATTCTATTAAAAGTCTGAGAATGTAAATAACTATATCAGAGAAAATTAAATTTTCTTCAACTCAAGTTATAATACTGAGGAAAGAACAAGGGGTCTGATTATAATTGAAGCATATTACGGACTCGCTGATCATATTTATCAAATAGAGGCAGGAACTCTTATTTATCATTTACCCAAAGATTCCTAAGAATTTTTAAGAGCTTAGATTCTGCCCGTGACAAAGCAACTTCAGATGCAGATTCAAAATAGTCAGCTTATTTTGGAGAGTGATTTTGAAAACTTAAGAGGAGTTTTTAATCCATGCGTAAATTTGAGATCAAAGACACTTCTTTATTTGAGATATAAATATAGGGATATGGAGAACGCCGTAATTTATGATTTTAGCAGAAGGGAACTAGTTATACCTAGAGATTTAATGTGATAATCAACGGCACATATTATTATATTAATTTCCTAAGACAAAAGCTATTATAACTATATCTATTTAAAAAATAATTATTTAATCCAAAGGGGTTTTGGGGTTTTGGGG